CTCAAAGAGCCACTTGGACCGAAAACAAAACACCGGGAGCCACAAAACCCTTTTGATATCTAAAATGAAGATAACACTGCATATATCCTTTTTTACCTTTATTATAGGTGTGTGTATGTGTGTCTGTGTTTGTCTCTGTGTGTGTATGTATGTATCTACAGGTAAAAAAGGATATATGCAGTGTTATCTTCATTTTAGATGTCAAAAGGGTCTCTCTCTGTGTGTCTCTCTCCCTCCCTCTCTCTCTATCTGCCCTTGGTCTGCCAGTCCTCTTCCCCCCCCCTCTCTCTCTCTCTCTCTCTCTCTCTTTCTCTTTCTCTTTCTCTCCCCCCCCCCTCTTCTCTCCTATCTGCTGCTCACCTGGCAAGCTGGCTTCAAGCTGTTCACCAACAAGCTCAGGGGTAGGCAACCTCGGCTCTTTTATGATTCATGGACTTCAACTCCCAGAATTCCTGAGTCAGCATAGCTGGGCTAGCTAGCTCTCTCCTGCCCTTCCTGCTTCCTGCAGAGACGCAGCAAAGGGAGGAGCTTCGCCCAATAAGCTTTTCAGCTCCTCGGAGAACACTGTGAGTGCACTCTCTTTTACACACACACACACACACACACACACACACATAAAAACAGAGACAGAGAGAGACAGAGAAGCAGGGAAGCGCAAGTGCCTCTCTGTCTCTCTCTGCAAATGGCAGAGGAGGCTGGGACCCACAGGGGAAGGGTCAAAGAGCCGTATGCGGCTCCAGAGCCGCAGGTTGCCGACCTGTGTCCTAGGACCTAGGTTATAATCACAGTGACATCAATTAACAATTCAAACAATCAATGCCAGCTAATGATGATAGCCATGCAAATTACATACATAAAAATAAATGATCGACTTAATCTAAAATTGCCAGCAGACACAGGAATAAAATTTTCCATTTTCTTACAATAAAAAAGTGTGATAATCATTTCTAGCCTTTTCCCATTTGGAGATTTAGACCGGACAACAAAGACATATAAGAAACGGTTGCTGGAATTGGGTATGTCTAGTTTAATGAAGAGAAGGACGAGGGGGGACATGGTAGCAGTATTCCAATATCTCAAGGGGTGCCACAAAGAAGAGGGAGTCAAGCTATTTTCCAAAGTGCTAGAATGCAGGACAAGAAGCAACAGATGGAAACTAATCAAGGAGAGAAGCAACCTAGAACTAAGGAGAAACTTCCTGACAATTAGAACAATTAACCAATGGAACAACCTGCCTCCAGAAGCGGTGAATGCTCCAATACTGGAAGTTTTCAAGAAGAGACTGGACAGCCATTTGTCCGAAATGGTATAGGGTTTCCTGCCTGAGCAAGGGGTTGAACTAGATGACCTCCAAAGTCCCTTCCAACTTTATTATTATTGTTATTGTTGTTGTTGTTATTATTATTTAAGAAGACAATATCAATTGACTTCCATACTATTGCCAAGAAAAATAGATGTAATCACTATAAGTTTTCATCTGGAAAATATCTTTATCGTAATAATGGTAGATTATTTTTTTTTATGTACTACATGTTTTGAAATGGAACACACTCAAATATTTGGAGAAGACACAAAAATAGTTTTAGCATTTACCAAGCAGTAGGAAATTAAAATAAAGTAGATTTAATTATGAGAACTATATAGATTGGCCTATAATTGAGGGTTTTGTCCCTTATATTCACCCATATAGGGATGACATGATAGCAGTATTCCAGTATTTGAGGGGCTGCCACAAAGAAGAGGGGGTCAAATTATTCTCCAAAGCACCAGAGGGCAGGACAAGAAACAATGGTTGGAAACTGATCAAAGAGAGAAGCAATCTGGAATTAAGGAGAAACTTCCTAACAGTGAGGATAATTAACCAGTGGAACAGCTTCCCTTCAGAAATTGTGGCTGCTCCATCACTGGAGGTTTTTAAGAAAAGACTGGACTTGTCTGAGATGGTATAGGTTCTTCTGCTTGAGCGGGGTGTGTGTGTTAGGGGCTGGACTAGATGACCTCCAAGGTTCTGTTCTATTCTATTCTATTCTATTCTATTTATAAATACACAAAAAGTGCTAGCTTACAGCAGCCTGTCAGCCTGGAACTCTAAAAACAATATCATATGGGAAAGATTATTTCTTTTTCAATAAAAGGAGTGATTCCAAATATGCCATAAAATTAGAGATGGAGAGCTGAATCTAATCCAAGCAAACACAACTACTTCTCTGAGCACATCCCACACAGCTGTGTTTCTAAACCATGGCAACTCTAAGAAGTGTGGACTTCAACTCCCAGAACATCCCTGCCAGTTGCTGGCTAGGGAACTCTGGGAGTTGAAATGCACTCTTGTTAGAGTTAACAAGGTTGAGAAACACTATTATATAGAAACACTATTATATAGGAAGGACTTTGGGGAGGCAAAAAAACCTCTTTCCCTTCTCTAAAATTATACTGCTTGCCTTTGTCATAGCAAAGGAAAAGCACTGGTACAACAAATGCAAGTAATTCTAAATGGAAGCAGCTGCAAGTAATAAGCTCTCTAATAGCCAGTTCTGGCTATCCATGGGAAAGGTGCAAGGCAACTAAATAAGAACCAGCACACATCCATATAAGTGGGAGCACCTATAATTTTGTATCTTGCTATGAGAAAGATCTTCACTTGAGGAACCACAAATCCAGCATCAAATATTATTATTAAATGATGCATCTTGAGAATCAGGAGGCAGGAGAAAAAAAGGGGTGTTAAAAATGGGAACAGCAGAAAATGATCTACTGCACTAATACAAATTAGTTATAACTTAAGAGTAATTGATACACTACAACAACATCAATTAACAATTAGCACCAGAATAGCAAGAACCAGAACTTTTTGTCTCTCTCGACATCCAAAGCAGTAAAAGGGGAAGTAAAGAAAAAGAACTTAGTGTAATCAAGCATCTTGAAGCCCCAGGGAACAAATCAAAGAGCATCTCCCCACAGTTAATAATATTCTGAAGTTGGGGGAAAAGACAATAATGCATCAATGTACATCTTCACTTAACATAGTTTGGAGAACATACATATCTGCTAAATAATAGAAGGATCATTAGAATTTTTTATATTTTATAAATTTTTACATTTGTATACATGTATATTTAATAATTATTTTTCATATCATCTAAACATGGCTTTACATTTTTTTCTTTTACCAAGATGATAATAATTGCTGCATCTTTCAATTAAGTTCATCTCTGAGCAATTGTACTTAAGCTAGCACCTAACTAGAAAGTACAACTAGTTTTCTACTAAATCAAGAATCCAATTAACAGAATACAAGAAAACTCAGAATAATGTAATAATTATGAACAATTTAATCACATCATCATGAACTATCCAATGTAGCTTCTAAATTTTTTCATAATTCATTGGTTAATTTCTAAAGCGTAAGCACTCCAAAACTTCTCAGCTGAACTCAAATGAGTTTCTACTGCATGTGGTAGACACAAGGCAGCCTTTGATGATGAATTTAGTTGTTGAGCATTTCTGTATAATGGAAATATTCCCTCAAAATGGTTCCAAATTGTCTATAGGTTAATATCAAAATCTAAAATGTTATCTAGAAGCAAATTCACAGCCAGTACATTTCTTTTATGGGGCTGCCTCTCCTTGCTGTTGACACTCGGGTCTCCGGTGTCACATATTTTTTTCGGAGAAATGCAATTCCATCAGAGCCTCATATTTCATGAACCCAGAATACCCTTACTTGTAGGATCCTTGTCTTTCCAGATGCAGCTCACTTCTGCATCAAGTTATTGGTCAACGGTCAACAAAACGTCCTAGTTCAGATGTGTCAGAGAAATATAGCTGAGACTTATCAGCCTATTGCTATCCCTGTCCCCAAACTCCCAATGATTCCTTCCATAGTCAGATTAGATCCAAACTAGAATTCCAGGGATGTTTATATAATAATATCTGGAATTTACAAAGCTCAATTTGTCTAAAACTGTAGCCTAGACTCAATAGGTGTTTCTCTTTCCATTAACTTAACTCACTAAAGTTCTTAAATAGTCATCTAGATATGCAACTTGTGAAACTAGAAAAAATGTTCAGTGCCAAAGAAACTACCTTCTGCCATACAACTTCAGCTGCTGTATTCATGTATACAGGTAAAAGAGTAAAAAATCACTGTGTATTAACTATTTGTGGATAAGCCATAACTATATTTTATTTCATTTCTCTGGTAAGTTAATGTCACAAACTACACATTTTACAGGCTACTACAGTGATTCTTTCAAAATCTACTACAAAATTAGTAGGCAGAGAAAGAAAGGAATGAAGGCCAAATGGAGCAAGAAGGCACCCATAATTATTACGACAAAGATTAGGAAAAGGACAGATCTCATGTCAACACAGCGACAGATATACTGAACTTAATAGAAAAATCTATTTTCCATCTACAACAGAGATGGGCATCTGAAAATAAATATTTCCCTCCCACTTCATTCTGAAGCAAGGCTTATTCTTCGGAGGCTATTTCTCATGGGACAAGGTAGCCCCTTTCCCAGATTTGATATAACAAGCCAAAGAAAGAGCTCAAAGAAGGAAGTTTGAGGAAAACGGGAATTTGAGGAAGCTGTCAGAGGACTGACCAGCTGCAAATACTGTGGGCAGAGAATTAAGATGGGATAAATGTATCTTCTTTGTCAGACGTAAATGTTTGCAGAAGTTACAAGGCAGCGGCTCTTGACACGAGTGTCCTAATCAGTAGCACATAAATTGTCTTTTTGCAGTATAATAGGCGATTTTGTCATTACACTACTCTGCGTTTAAACTAAGCAAATTCTGTGCGAGGCACAGGAAACAGATGAATTGCGATTCTCCCCCGGCACCCACGTGCAATTTCACTGCTCTCGGGAGCAACATCACGGCCGGCCGCAGCAGAGGCAGCATCGGGCCGCTCCTCCTTCGGCTGCCCCACCCCAAGCGAAGCCCTGCCCCGACTCCCGATGCCCACACAACGCACACACACAGGCTCGCACCGTCGAGGGAGACGAACTGCCCGACTGCCGAGGAGCCTCCGCCGCTGTTCTCCACGAACTGCACTTCCGAGACGATGATGTTGTCTTCCAGCACCGAACCGCATCCGGTGCACACTGCATCGCCCCGGGCTGAGTCCACCTCTATGTCAGAGCCGCCGCAGGCAGCGCACACCCGCCCGCCCGACATCTTGACAGGCAGACAGGCAGGCGCGACTTCCCCGCAGCGGGCCGAGCCACTTGCCTCGCTCAGCAATGCCGGCTGGTTTCTCGCGCTCTTCCTCCTCCACGCAGGCCTGCTTCAGCCGCCTATTCGCTGCCGGAGGAGGAGGAGCCGCAGCCCCCAAAATACCGCCTTTTCTCGCGAGGTCTGTCGGCCACTGCGAGCCTCCACCTTCCGCGGCAGTGTATCCTTGTTCACCTCCTGTGTGGTTGGGGATTCCCCGAAGGTGTCTAGGCTCCCGGACGTTGCAATTCGTAAGAGTTTGAGCCGCTGCTACTTGCTAATTAGCCTTTAGGATGCCCAACGGGTAGCGGGAGGCTGACTTATGAAGAGTTCGATAGTTCGCCCTCTGATTTGTCCTTTGGTCCAAGGGCCGAGATGAGCGGCAAATCTCCTCATTTACTATGAGGGTCAGTTCAGTAAAGCCAGAACACAGAGCCTTGACTAGGTAAAGGGTCAGTTTCTTTAATCAGTGATCACCTGAACTTGTATGTAGAGAAGAATAAGAACACGGAAATAACATGGATATATGCCCTATGTAGCCATCCTTCTTAGCATTCCTAATGACATTAATATTGCAAGGCTTCTAAATTTTAGCAACTTTAAGATGTAGACTACAAGTCCCAGAATTCTCCAGTCAGCAGCAAGAATTCTGGGAGTTGTAGTCCACACATCTTTTAAGTTGCCAAGTTTGAAATACGGTACACACTGTTGTATAACAGTTATATTTTTTTTTATCTTTGTGAACTTCTCTCAGATTGGCCCCTTTTTCAAGTTTCCCCTTTATTTCTCCAATAAGATATGGTCCCTGTAGTAATATTCCACTGCGGTAGTGCTGGAGGGGCCAGATATTTTGACTACACAAAGATGAATGAAAGAGACTGAGGTCTGGAAATCAACTTCACTATGTTTAAAGAGATGTGGAAGCTATTTATTTACCTGTCTGGTACATTTAAATATATAAATACTTTTACTTAAAATATTACACAAATATAAAATTTCTATTTTTTATTTATATAAAATAATTGAAAATTCATAGAGAAAATATAAATCTGTGGTTTATAAGATTTGAAAATGACCCCAGGACACATAATGATAGACTGCCAAAATAGTATTCAAAAAATTATTTTCACTTGGACAACTTTATGTAATATTTGGGCACTTTCACATGAGAACTAGGCACCAGTTTGCAAGTCTGGACTTTTGGAATCCCCCAGCATTGGCTGAATTTGAGAAATAAGCTAAGTTTTTTTCCCAGCTCAGGGCTTATATTTTTGAACACATACAAAAAACCCTAGTATTTTGTTTAATGTTAATGCTGTTGGGAGTTTGTTTCCTCATCTATCTTGCTATGCTTTCCCAGATCTTCCTTTCATCCCAGTTTTTCAAAGAGGAAGGTAGTTTGTTAGGTTTGCGGCTGCTCCTCATAAGAACTCTTTTGTACAACCATTATTTACTTTATTAGCGAAATTTTGTTTTTACAGGGTCTACTGAGAAATCAAAATGAGATTGGTTCTTTGTGAAGTTGGCAGAGATGATACTTGCAGATCATCTTCATCTGCTTTTGAGATATTGAAGAGTGGAAACAAAGATGGAAGGGTCTATGTTTACTATTTATTTATTTATTAAATGTATATGCCACTCATCTCAATATTAAGCAACTCAGGACAATTTACAACATCATAATACCTTTCCTGAACCATTATTTTTTCATTTTAAATACTCAAAGACTTTTATTACCTTTATGTTTCATGTTTGTAAAGAATAAGAACCATAAGAATGAATAGATGGGGTCTTGAAATTGTCTATTAACAGCAGGAAAACTAACAGCTATGCCAGACTGCACCTCTCTTCCATACAGAACAGCATTATATATGTATTTATAATAATAGCCTGTAACTTAAAATTTTTGTATGAGTAGATATCTACACAATGAAACCTCTCAATCACTAACATCTAGAATACTTAGGCAAGTTATTGTTTTCTTAACTTGTATTTCTCTTCTGCTTCCCTTTGAGATAGAGATAGCCTTCATTTAGGAACTACCTTGTTTAATGACCATTTGCAGTTACAGTGGTGATGCAAAATAACATGATTAATCCTCACATTTGCAACCTTCACAGGTCTGTAAAGCAAAGGAAAGCTGAAATGAGATCATTAGCAAACTTATACTTTCACCTAGCAACCATTTCATTTAACAACTGAGTTGCTGGTCCCAATTGTGGTTATTAAATGAGGACTACGTGTAGATTGAACAATTTCTATCGAGATTTTAGGATCATTGTAAGACCCAGAACACACTCAGAATAGTTGAAAATTTTGATATACAAATGCCAACTATTTGTTTAACTGCAATTAACTGCAGTTACAGTAGATATAATTTGTTATTAGGGCATTTTTAAATTGGCCACAAAATTTGGGCTACAATGATTTATAGAATCCTTATGAACGTAGGCAATATTATGTCTACTGCTTTGTTTAGTCAGTTCCAGCTAATCATCAGATTCTCTGTACAGGAGTCAAATTTTCTAGGATTTATGTTGTTAAGACTAACATTTTCTTATTTACTGATAATACAGTATGTTTAAGGTCCAAAACTTAAACATAATACAGCATGTTTAAAGCCTTTATTGACATTTTCTTGTATTAACCCTCTTCACACTATATACTTACTTTCAACATTGCTTTTGTATAACATAATTTGTACACCTTGCCAGTGCAAAAGTACTATTACACTGTAAACCAAGAACATCAAAACACTACACTACTTGATAGCTAGTAGCAATACAGAATATTCCTTCAATTTAATCCATATCAGTTTATTCAGTAATTTATTCAGAAATTCAGTAATTATAGCAGTATAATAACAGTAATTCTGCATTCCCTGTCAATATTACATGCTATTACTAGTAATGCTACTTTCTCAAACAAGAAAAAGCAAATGTTCTGTTTGAGGCCAAAACCAGTAATAGGCAGAGAAAAAAACATAATTCTTTGACTTTTATTGACTTACTCCAAAGGCAGCAAACACAGGACCTGGGAAAGCGATAACATTGAGGGTTCTAAATGTGCCACACATACGTATGCAATTAAAGTCAGTGCTCTTGGTGGTAAATTATAGCACTAGTGTTTTAATAAATCAGTAAGTTGAGACTAGCCAAAGGTAAAAGGCCTGCTATTGTTTAGAGGGCAGACTGATAGCCAAGAGCCAAGGCAATCCAGAAGCCCCAGTCCCCTGGGTCATAAGCCAAAGATCCATTTGCAATGGAGGAATGAAACCTGGTTTCATTCATATCATATAGCCAGAATTATTTGCCTTGCCTAGCAGCTCTTAATTGGCACTATGTTTGGGTTCCTCGCACTTATTTCTGATTATCAAAATCAGCCTCCACTTTTTCAGATCTAGTTATTGTCCCAGGAACAATTTCAGGTGGCTGTCTGTTTTTTTTCCTCAACTGTAGACTGACAGTCCATCAGATTCTGCTTTCCAGCCTCAGAATCTCAGAGTCTCTAATTCTTTTTTTTTTCCAAACAATTTTATTGGTTTTTCCATTTTTGCACCAAGAAGCTTAAGAACAAATGTGGAGATAGGGTAATCAGTTGAATACAATAACATCATAAATATACGGCGCAAATAATACATTTGTTAATACATTCCTAAATAAAAATTCCATTAATCAATAAAAGTTATCAGCAACCCATTACCTATGTAAATCAAAATCCTGTTTTCAGCTATTATTAATTTCCAAATACCATATCCAACCTAGCCTTAAACAGACACATTATTTACCATTTGGATGTCCCAAACTTCACTTATTTAAACATATTATTTCCATCATTACATTTCTTACATTTCTTAACTATATTCTGTTTCTTATTCAGTAATTCTTCATTTGTTAATTTCATCTCTTCCATTATTGCAATCTTTTTCTCATTATACCTCCACAAATTAATTATCATACCTAATAATTAAAAAACATAAGAAAATAGAAAAACTAGTAAAAAAAAAAAAGACAGAAACAGATCAAGCGGAAGAAAGAGAAAAGAAGGAAGATCCATTATTCCAAAGTGTGTATTCTTACTATGTTTCAATACTAAATTCAAAATCTTATCCTAATAACATCTCTTAAAAATCCAAATCAATCCGCATCTCTATGAAGCCTTTGCAACCCATAACTGTAATCTTAAATTCCATATTTATATCTTATTCTAGCTTTCTTTCTATTCCAAACAGGTTTCCATAATAAAGACTCTAAATCCGCAAATAAGTCTCCCTTCATCTCTAGCTGGAATACATAAACCAAAGGAAAGTCTCCCATTGTCCATTTTAATTGGCTAGTAACAAAGTTGTAGCAATTCTTGATAGCTGGTAATTGGATCTCAATCCGCATCCTTTTTGAAGTTGTGTATAGTTTAATTGAATCATCCAAAATCGGAATAGATTGTATATAAGATGATGTATAATCCTCTTTAGTGTTATTTTGTTGTTCTTCTGTTAATTTTTTATCTATCAAGAAATCAGTTGGATTCTGCATCAGCTTACCCTTTTGGGATAACATCCTTAGTTTCTGTGCTAAAAATCATTTGTTCGTTAGCATCAAAGTTTTTTCCCAATGTAGGTTGATAATCCAGATGTGAATTTAATTCCTCCATCTCAGTGAGTTGTAAGCAAAGTTGAGAATAGGTCTCTTAGGTATACATCCCCTCTACTGTTTCTTGGCCTGCAAAGTGCTCACTTACACCTTAAACTTCAATTTGTCGTTGAAAAATAATCTCTTTTGTACAGGCAACTATTAGCTCTGTTTTTTGAAGAATTTTATCCAATATATACTTATAATCAAAGTCTAGGCAGGGTTCCTCCATTTCAGTAATGTTTAGAACGGTTATTCTTGGTGGAAGCTGTATTTAATAACAGTCAATATCCGCCTCCACCCAGCTGTACAACTTCTTTATCTTTTCCTTTTTGTGATAATTTGAAGGTCAAAGTCAAACTCAAGAATCCAAGAAAAAGAAATAATGGTTGCAGTTGGTAATTTCACCACAAGATGTCCCCAGAGGGTTATCCAAAGTTATTCAGTGTCTCTAATTCTGAGAAGTAGGAAGTTCAAGTGCAACATGCACAAGAATATCTAAAGACAAATTTAAATATAGGCCAGTCTCAAAATGACATACTACATTAAAAATGCTAGGAAGTAAGGAACTTGAACTATTATCTCAACATGCACAAGCTCCTACATAATTATTTTTCAATATTGCATGGTGCTCCTTGAGAATGTGGATTGTTTTCATTTGAGGTGTTTCGGTGCATATTTTTGGACTTTATATGATAGCTAGGATTGATAACCAAGTACAAGAAACCTGTTTGGCTGGTTTGTACTCTATGGGACTCTTGAAGTATAAATCAATTTGAAAGTGATTACTAACATTTTTGGAAACAAAAATCAATATGTTTAGCCCTGTTAGTAAGAAATACTCCAGACTTACTATTTTGTTTACTATGAGTGTTCACCCAAATATGCTGACTTAAGGAGGCAAGTTGCTCAATTCTGTCATAGGTTGGCATTCACACATTCTTATTGCAATGGGAGATTTTAAAACTGATATGTGATTTTCTTCTTTCTCCATCCCCAAGGCTGTAGAAAAGAAGTCCAGCCTCTTTGCAATGGCAATTATGGGAATTATTCTGCAACCCAGTTCTTGAAATTTGACCCAGACCAGAAGAAGCCAGGAAAATTCTATCCAGGAATTTCAGTTGTTTAAATTCAGAGTTGGTCTGTTTGTAGCTGGAAAGTATTTTCACAGAGGTATTCATTTAAAGCACCAAAAATCAATACAGTTATAGTCTGGTAATACATTGCTAACTAACTAGAGAAAGTGAATTGGGCTTGCTTTTCTGTCTTCAGCAGCTGCTTGGTAGGGAAGGAAAGAAAAAAGTAATCGTTCAATGTATTCCCTGGAATTGGTGTCCTCATTTTTTTAATCTCACTATAACAACGTACTTAATTTGCCTTTTATGTAGAGGACATCTTTTCAAGCTGTACAAGTGAGAGAACTTGCAATTGATACAAAAAGTGGTTACTCCAGGACAGAGATGGCGAACCTTTTAGAGACCGAGTGCCCAAACTGTAACCCAAAACCCACTTATACATTGTCGGGTGCCAGGTGGGTATGGCCCATTGGCTGGGCATGACCCATTGGCTGGGCGTGGCTGCAGTGGTAACAGCAGACTGGGTGGGACTAAAAAGTTCAATCAATTCCAACTTTGCAAGATTTTTTTTTCCCCGCGAGGTTGAAATTGACTGATTGATTGAACCTTTTTTTTTTTTTGCACACAGCGGCAGAGGCCTAAAGCGAAAAGGTTTTATAAAGCTCAGCTAAAGGCCTAGGAGTGGGGTGTCGGCGCGCATGCCCATAGAGAGGGCTGTGAGTACCGCCTCTGGCACTCATGCCAGAGGTTCGCCACCACTGCTCCAGGAGATTAAGATAAGCACTACCTCAGTTAATGATAGAAAGCAGACACCAGAGGGAGCTAAATCCTTATCTTTTTCTCCCTCAAAGCACTTCTGTAAACAAAAGCAACTTTTGAACTATTGATAAATTTAGAAAAGATAAGTAAACCTCAGATATCATCTTGTACTTCAGAAGCAGATCTGGGAGATGTACTGCAACATAATAATTTCTTATATTAAGATCCAAGGCTAGGTAGTAGTACTATTATAGAAATAAGGAACAGAAAAGAAGGATCAAAATTGGGATGAGGGTGAAGCATCACTTCCCCAACTACCGGTCTCAAAAATGCCTGCCCCAATGTCCATTTGGAAAATGCTATGCCAAATACAGTGAGAAAACAAATATCAAGCAGATATTTTCCTAATGGTTGCACTGAAATTAGTAATGTTGAAAAAAAAGAAGTTTCTCTTACACCAGGGGTCTGCAACATTGACAACTTTAAAACTTGTGGACTTCAGCTCCCAGAATTCTTCAGCCAGCATAGCTGGCTGAGGAATTCTGGGAGCTGAAGTCCACAAGTCTTAAAGTTGTCAAGGTTGCAGACCCCTGGTTTACAGAGTCATGTCTGACTCTAGGGGGCAGCGCTCATCTCTGTTTCCTAGCCAAGAGAGCCAGTGTTGTTGAAAGATGATGCCCCAAAGTGAAAAGGACCATTGTATGATTGGTTAGAACCTGCAACAGAGCAAGCAAGCAGTCAATACTGAGGAAGGCAGATTTTGCTTCCCATTTTCTATAAGGGGGAGAGGCTCTAAATTTTGAAACAATTCTACTAGAGTAACTGGGGATTAAGTTAAATAAAAGGAATCTAGGATTTCATCCTTAAAACTTAAATTGTTCAGTTATGTGTGATATAAATAGATTGGAGGAGTATGGAGCAGGAAAGGAGAGGGAAGGGCGGGGGAGAGAGAAAGCACCTCATATTCATTCAAACCAGGAAGAAAATAATCATAGGAAGGGTTTTTTTTTAAAAAAAAATGTGCTAGCCATAGGACTATAAATCTCAGTATTTCTTTAGGTATAAAAAATGAATTATCAAACAAATCACCCACAGTTTTCCCTTAAGGCACAAATGACCATGCTCAAATTATTATACTTTGGACACATTATGTGAAGACCCAGCTCGCTGAAGAAGTCTCTAACACTGAGAAAGAGAAGAATAGGGTGGCTAGCAGTAAGAAGGAGGCATTCAGTTGCAGTGATGATGGGTACCCCTTTGGATAACCATGTTAGGGACCGACTGGCATGAAGAAAATCTATGTGGTCACTAAAAGTCATAATTACTTTTATTAAGCAGCCTGTGATAAGTCACCCTAACTCATGTGTAAGGAGTTTTCTGCTTAGCCTGACTCTGTTCACATTAAGAGCAACAGGTGGTGAAACAAGGTAGGAGGGGAATGAAAGAATAGCAGCCACACACCTGCCACTATCTCAAAGCCTCTTCACTCTGAACTGTTTGCAGTCAGCTGTAGTGACAGGTCTCATTGCCAAGCTGTGTGGGGGTTGACTCTGGGGCAACATGTTTTCTTCCCACTTCAAGGATAAAAGTCAAGGCAAGGCCTTTAAACTGTTTTATCTGCTTCTCTTCCCACATCCAGACTCCAGAATTTAAAATAATACGAAATATGGGATGGTACTAGGGCAGGAAGAATCCCAGAAGGAGGGAAGCAGATCCTACCATGATTATGCAAATAGTTATCTGTGTTCCAGAAGGGGGAGGGAGGAGAGAATTGAAACTGAACAGCTGCTGGAAACAAGATCTCTTATTTGGATGGGGGAGTGCCTGCAAATGACAAGTACAGGAAAACCAGCAAATAAACAATTCTACAATTTAACATCCCTCATTCTTCTTTAGACACCAGAATGAGGAAAAGCAGAATTTCTGCATCTAAAAATCCCATTCATAATACAGAAGAGCATATCAAATTCCTGTTCTTCCACAAATAAAATAATGGTATTTTGGCGTCCTTTTTTGGAAGCAGGAGTTTCTATAGGGAGAGATCAAAAAGCTGACGAGGACAGCTGCAACTATATGATTGAAGATCCACCTTTTTATGCATATTGTGCAACACATGGGTAAGAGGGTGGAGCTTAGAGCATATGCCACCATCTTGACTTTTTTCACCTGCCCATATACAAATGTTAAGGTGACCAACTGTCCTCCTTTAGGGAGGACAGTCCTCCTTTTGTAAGTTCTGACCTCCCTCAAAAAGTCCTTCATGTCCTCCTTTTCGATATTTGAAGACTAATCTGCAGGGCTTTTTTTTTCCCCCTCACAGAACGCTCAGAACGGTGTTTTGGCACCTTTTTTTGATGTTTTTTTTTTTCAACTTTTGCATGAGCTGTGCTACTCCCACTATTGGCTTTCGAAAGCCAATAGGAATTACTGCTGAGCGCGCCAAAACACCCGGC